GGGGTGGGGTTGCTGTTGCTGATGCTGTGTTTGATGAACAAAAAGTTGGCTCGAATGTAGAACCAGCCACAAGAAATTTCTGGCATAAATAATAGAACTTGAGATCTTTTGGTGAGGGAAGGATGTTGGATTGTTGTAAATTGATCTGTGGTGATCTGAGTTTCTTGGTTAAGGAAAGGATTGAATTGGATGTGGTTGTGATTGGTAATTTTACAGATAGAAGAAGAATATGGAATTGTCACGAGAAATGAAAAGCACATGGGCCAATAAATTAAAGTAAGCACAATGTAAGAAGTAAGCATTCATGCCCCAGTGGGCCAGATGAACTGGTAATTTTGCATAAATAGTCTGTAAGCAACGGCTTTTTTTTTTTGTCCCTGCTCAATGCTTAACCAATAGTTGATTATTTTTTGGGTCAAAGAGGATGGTAGTGGTTTTGCAGGTTCTTTATTCCAAAAGGTTGATCCTGTTCTAATAGCCTTAAATTAATTTAACACATTTAAAAGGCTAGGTATGTCACAGCAATGAGAGTTTTGTTGAACTCTCATAGATTGGGGCATCTCACTTGAAAATGGACGTTCTCTGTTGGTGGATTTGGGTCCATAGCACCGGTTTTATTGTTGCAAAACATGGAAATGGATCACCAATTCAATATGATTAAATAAGCAAGAAACTTTAATGGCCCACACATGTTGTGTTAAGTAGTTCCTTTTAAGTTGGGTTTGAAGTGAAAACTAAAGGAGAAGAGTAATGCTCTCTGTGAAAATTACATGCTTCAGTCATTTTAGGCCCCTGGTATCTGATTTGATCCCAAGCAGAGTTTTGTACTCTCAATTTTTTGCTGTTGTATAACATGGTATTTTGGCAGGTAGCTGAACGTGCTTTGTTTTTGTGGAACAATGATCACATAAGAAATCTGATTACCCAGAACCGCAAAGTAATACTCCCTATAATCTTCCCAGCATTGGAGAGAAACACTTGCGGTCATTGGAACCAGGCAGTTCAGAGTCTTACACTGAATGTCAGGAAGATATTCTCAGATGCTGACCAAGCATTTTTTGATGAGTGCTTGGCCAGATTCCAAGAAGATGAAGTGAAGGAAAAAGAGATGCAGAAGAAACGGGAACTAACGTGGAAGAGATTGGAAGATGTGGCTGCATCTACTGCAGTAAGCAATGAGGCTGTTCTGGTTTCAAGATTTGTCTCTTCCATTGCCATTGCCGCCAGCGCAAGTCCGAAGGCAACAGCGGGCAGTTGAGAGATGCAATGAATGCAATTTATAAGAAATCATTCACATCCATCGTAGTGGAATGATCCAGGGTGTAACTGGACTGGTACACCATGGGAATTGGTTGATCTCACTTGGGTTTTTAACAGCGAGACTCTTACCTCCTGCCTGACAAGTGAAGGTGGGGTTCTGTGGATATTAAGCGTGCTTCTTTTTTGGTTCTGGGCTCATTCATTTTTATATATCTTCCTTCTTTGTGTTTTTTACTTTCGCCCTCTTTCCTTACTCTTCCATGATGGAAGTGCAAGTGTGTATCATAAGGGATTTAGTTTATAAAGGCAGTTCGTTGGATTTACTATCAGATACTGTTTATCATTGTTATTATTTTTTGTAATGATGCAAGGAGATATTTTTTCCCCGGTTCCCTGCTAAGCTGTGCACACCCCAGCCCTCGTATTTATTTCTGGGACGAATTGGTTGAACTGTTCTTTGCTGCTTGGGTTTCCAATGATATTTTTCTTAATACATGCCAGGTAAAACCATTATGAACATGGTCTGAGTTAAACGGATGGAGTCCTCTCAACCACCTTTGTGTTTTGCACTTCATAGTTCCTCCATTAGGATGATTGTGGCTTAATTTCTCCACTCAGATTTAACAGTATGGGAGCTCTAGCAAGAAGGGTAGAAATGAAAAGAAACCAAGAAACCAACCACTGATACAGTGAATCCTGCCAATGTCCCTACAACCATCTTCCTCCCTACTAAAGAAATCATCTTTCTAGCATTATCGGTGTCAACGATCTATCCCCCAACTTATTCATCCTCATATTCGACCCAGTAGTCTTTTACATTCATTCCTGGTCTCCTTATTGCTTCTTTGATTCTGCCCACATCTACCCACCTCCCCACCACCGCCAGGGATATCCATTTCTGCACTCCTTAATTGCAGTAGATCTTCCAGTCCACCAAGGGGCACCCACAATGACTAACACAATCCTCCATTAACCTCATTGCCAAAGTCACCTTCATATTATACATTATTAGTGCTAATAATAGGTATCTAGTCTAGGAACATTCACTTTCTACTGATCTTCATCGGGTTAGGCAGTGACTGCTAACAAGGACAAATGCTGTCCAATGAGAATGGTCGGTCCATTATCAATGCAAAAAAGGAATGAATGAACAACGTAATTAAATTTCTTAATCAGTACAACGAGACTAAATGAAAGCAGATGGTTGTAGCAATTTCAACTATTGATATTTCAGCTTCTAAATACTTTATAGATTTAGTGAACAAATGCAAAAGAAAAAAAAAATCAAAGTATGCAACATGAAAAGCTATTACTAGTCATCCCCATATGCTCGGAAACTATAACGCTCTTGGTATGGACCATTGAAGAAAAGATCTGCCTCGAACCACTTAGGGTAACGAACAAGGTCCCCAGCAACAAATCGCATAAAGCGCTCACTGCCTTCGGGCACAACCCTCACCTCACCTTCCTCAATGTAAACCAGCTGGTCCACTTGCCAGTCCCAGGGTAGTTTGCACTTGCCCGTCTTCCATACTGACCATCTTGAGACCCCAAGCTGTGTTAGTCGCTCCGGTGACACTTTCCTTTCCACCCTCACATTGTACAATTCCTCTAAAGGTTTCTCCACCCGCATTGCCTTCACACCACAACAGGAAGACGCCCCAATCCTGTTGTTAGAACCGCTGCTTCTCTTGAAAGAGAAGTAGCCAAGAGTTGGAGTAGATATCATGCTTGCCATTTTCTCAATTTCCTACCCTAGCCTTACTGTTGCCTACCTGCAAATTTGAAGCATAGTTAACGCGCAGTGATAGAGAAATTACCAACAATAACAACTGACAATGAATCCCAACTTGTTATTGTACATCAAGACCCTGTAAGCTGATTCTTGTCCGAAATGTGAAAATGCTAACAAAAGTCCGAAATTTTAACAGAGGAAAATTATTTCAAACATGCTTGAAATGATTATATCACTTTAGCCAGCATTTTATAAATATATGAGCGACTTCCAAATTCTCAAAGCCCAACTTCTTTCAAAGAAGAAACAGAAATGAGTTCAAATGATTCAAAGTACATTTCTGGGTTTTAAGTTTCATAATCTATAAACAATATTGATGAGAGCCAAAAGGTCTTTTGCCTACCCACTCTCCCCAGATTTCCTTAGCCACCAAAAAGAGGAATACACAGGCGCAGATAAGAGAGAAAAAAAGAAAGAGCAGAAGAACCACAAAATCGAAAGAGAACAATAAATTAAAAAAAAAAAAAACAGAGCCAGATTCTCTTACCTGTTGATATATCCAAACTTGTATAGTTCAAGACAAAGGCCGAGATGAGGACTCAGAAGCACAATGAATTCGTTCCTAAAACCCCTTTTAGTCTTCAGCTGAGGTTTAACTGATTATCCACGAAGACACAACTTATTGCTAGTCAACTCGCCTGCGGGTGACCCTTTAGTTGTCACCCACAACTCTCACTTTCTTAGTTACCTGGTACCGGTTCTCTCGGTCATTTCTCTGTTTCCTTTTTCCCTTCACAGTGTTTTTTCAATTCAACCAGACAAAGACAATTGTAAACGTGTCCAGTTCTCTTACACACAGCTTTTCCGTTTGAAAGATTTGATGATATAAAATGGAGAAGCTTAGAATTTAGAGTGGTTTCACCATGTTTTCTGGAACCACGATGATGGTACCGCTGAGACCCTGTAATGGGGTCTCTCAGTATTTATCAAAAAGCCCAATGGTTCACACAAAGAGGCAAACAACTCCAAGGAATGTTTGCATGAAAGCACAAACACAAGCAGTTCCCTCCCGAACCCAGGTTAGTTCACTTTTCTCTATTTCCTGTTGTTTTGGAAGAAAATCACACGCCCCCCTCATCAAAGGAATTTCCGGTTGAAAAAGTATATCATAAAAGCTATGGTTGTCTATGTTTGTATAGCATATGGTTCGTTAGTGTCTTCGGCCCAGCATTTTTTTGTAATGATTTAGTTGTTTGTATAGAGAAAGTTTGATATGTTGTTTGTAGGAGGATTTTTTTTTATTTTTTTAAAATATAATAATAATTTTTTAAATTAATAAAAAATATTTTAATTTTTTTATTATTTTTATCAACGGTATTTTTAGTCTTAGGATAGAGTGTTTATTTCGAAAACTAATAAACTTTTGTGTAATTTCGATCAAAATTTAAAAAAAGTTTGAATATTTTATCCTATATAATACTATTACTTCTCTATCAAGCTTTATTATTTTCAATATTTTGTTAAATTAAATTTTAATAAATATATTTGAAAACCACTTGATTGGAAGTGAGTATCCTTTCAATTTTAAACCAATTAATAAATAAAAAACAAAATTTTCAATATTGCAAAATTGACTAAAAGAGTGAAATTAAAAGGTATTTATGGAACACAGGAGTGTTACATTTGATGCCAATTGATTCTGAAGCATTATTGTTTCAATCTTGCAGAGGATAATGGAGAGCATTTCAGTCGGTGGTGAGGTTGGAGGTGCTGGTGGAGCATACTCCTACAGTGCCTTGAAGAGGTTGGACAAAACTTGGTCGAGCATCTGCTCTGCTCAGACTGGTACAGTTTATGTCACTTGTTATGCTGCAAAGTTAAAGTGTCAAGCTGTGTTTTGAAAATGGTAGCTAACCTTCATTTCTCTTTGCAGTTCAGCAAGAACCTCAGCAGGTAGTTTCAGATTTTCCTGGTGTGTTTAGCCGTTCTGCTCTTGCTGAAAAAGCAGTCCACAAATTTGACGTCATAGTTTGTGGGGGTACTTTGGGAATCTTCATTGCCACTGCCTTGAGTGCCAAAGGTCTTAAAGTCAGTGTTGTGGAAAGAAATTTACTAAAAGGGGTATGTTTCCCCATAGAGTTCATTCTAGAGATTCTTTATAGCATGAAGATTTTGCTTCAACATGCTTAATTTTAACAATGTTAATGATATTTTGATCTTAGAGGGAACAAGAATGGAACATCTCAAGGAAAGAGCTAATGGAACTTGTAGAAGCTGGCATTTTGAATGAAAATGACATTGAAGATGCTACTGTTGTATCATTCAATCCTGTAAGTTTCTGAACATCATGAATTGATTAGTGTTTTTCAGGTTATCCAGATTTATGTTAGCTCCATTTTTTGGTTCTGTAGCCACTCAATTCCTACATGTTCATTGACAAAGTTGAAATGCATCAAAGGAATTATCCAATTCCCATTTTGCTGCTGAAATGTAACCATCCAACGACCTCACAAATATTCACAGTAATTTCTACATATGATTGGGAACATTTAAGAGTTACGTAGTCCACATGATATGCTGTAAACTTCAGCCATTTACGAAAAAGGACTTCTGATTCTACTTCCATGGTATATAAGAATGTGATGCTGTGCCTTCTTTGTTTAACCACGCATAATATTGTGATATGACTCACCATAATACCAATTTGAACATATATGAATGTTGATTCTTTGATTACAAACCCAGATAAAAGCATATACATAAAGACATCCTGCCAAGAGTTCATGTGCCTATCAAATCTCCAAGCTGGATTGCATGTATTCATTTTAATTTGTCACAGTAACCTAGCGCACTTTTGACTGAATGAAAGGAATGATTGTTCAAGGCTCTGTTATAGAAGTTTAAGTTTCATTTGTCACAGTAACCTAGCGCACTTTGCTCAAACATGCTCTCAAATAACTTACTGAACCACTGCAGTGAAGCTTAACTTTTCACTACCAAGCACTTTCCTTTTGCAAACACTTATGCTTGAAAGTTCCTTCAGCACCCCACAGCCTACATCTCTTACAACCCTTTAGTCTCAATGCAATTATACTTATGTTCATCTTTTCTTTTTCATTTCATAAACTGCTCAGAACAGATGTGGATTTGAGAAAAAGGGCGAGATCTGGGTAGAAGACATTCTTAACCTGGGTGTCTTGTGAGTAATTTTACTTTTTGAATCTACATTATATATGAATAATCAAAAAGGAGATATTTTCGTTGGATTTTACCTATTTATGGATTAAATATTTTTACCATGTTGTAAATGAAGTTCATTGTGACATCAAATAAAAATGTTACAAATAAATTCTGCTAACAGCTTCTCTCTGCACCAAAATTTGTGTTAAATAAGTAAAGAAATAACTATTTATTAATTATGTTGCCACTAGCTACAGATACCTCAAGTGCACTGCTCATGTAATTTATGTTTCATTTCTAGCATTGCACGAATTTGTGTAGAAGTTTGTACCATTACTTGTGATTGAAAACTTACTTTCTACTTTTAATCAAAAGCTTGACTTATATTATTATTATTATTATTATTATTACCGTTTTATCTTGCCTTTTTTATTTGCATATGAGTTGGGCAGAAACTTCTGTTATTCATTTATGTTGCTTTTTCAATAAGTAAATGACTTTCTTTCATAAAAAAAAAAAATACATCTAATGTTTTTAGAAGTTGTAATTTAGAGGAAAACAAACAGCTATTGAAAATGGGAAATCTGGAACATTATGTAGGCTGGATATAAAAACCTCCTAGGTACAACATAATATTTGGGAAATCTTTATGAGAAGTGTAATAAACAGAGGCAGAAGTTAATGCATGCTTCAGTTTTACTTTCAATTTTTATCCATATTTGAGTGTTAGGAGGCTTCTTTTTCTGCAGACAAAAGCATGCTCCATTCTTCTGATAATAGTTAATCTGCAGTTTGGTTTTTGTGAAAACCAAGGTCTCTAGAGTTATTCTTCAGCAATATGACATTATATATATACATATATATTCATATTCATATGTATATGTATGTATATATATATGTATATATATATATATGTCTGTTTGTGTGTGTATATATATATTTGGATAATTAATATGCCATTATATGATAAAGGTTCGATTCACGAAATTTCAGAAGCTTATTTTCCATTTTTTTCCAAAAAAGCTTGGGTCAAAGTTGTTAATATATATTTTGCTCATTGTATTTCAAAACTTCATTACGACATTCATTGACTGATATTTTTCTCCATTATTCCAGGCCTGTAAAGCTTATAGAGATTGTGAAAAAACGCTTTCTTGCCCTTGGTGGAGTTATCTTTGAAGGTTGCAGCGTGTCTGGCATAAGCATTTATGATGATGCAGCTGTGAGTTTACTGATATGTATGAAGTTGTACAGTTGATATTGCATATGGTTGATACTTGATATTGTCATCTGTCAACGAGGTTGATGAATAACTTAATTCTGCTATCTTTCTTAAATTTGATGGTACACATCAGTGATATTCCTCATAATAAAGTGTCAAAACTCATAACACTCCTGTGAGAAAATAGGGTACCATGCTTTATATCATACTCCAATTAGACCAAAGGGATAATTTTGTGAAAGAATTCTCAGACCAACTTTGGTTAAGCAGCAACATGGTTACACACTTGACAGGACAGACCGATAGTAAGATAGAAGACTGGAAGACTGGAAATGATTAATCAGGGTTTGGGATTTTATAAAAAAGTTATGGCGTTTATGTAGATAAAGAATGAAATATTACTGATTAAGGATTTTTTTGTCATTCAGTTTTGAGTAAGAGTGTGATGGAGAGATGTTTGGATGAGATTTTTATTTCTCTCTTTTCTTTATGGGAAAATGTCTTTCAACCAGATAGAACATTTAAATTTCATAACTTGCAAATGGGATTAGATTTCTCTGTTAATAAAAAACTTGATGATTACATCTTGCCACCTATTCTATATAGGTCTTGCAACTTGCTGAAGGAAACATTCTTTCATCTCGTCTCATCATTGATGCCATGGGAAATTTTTCTCCTGTGGTAAAACAGGTTAGGTTCCCTTTCTTATGTATAATAGATGTATATCGCATATAGTGGTTGAATATGCTTCTACTATTTGGACCAAAGGATTAATTTAAACATAACATCAACTAAATTTTACATGATACATTCGTTTATAAATTTATGTGCATGTTTGTGCTTTTATATTAATAATTGAACTTTTGAGTTATAAAGAATTTGTGCATATGAATTTGTCCTACAAACTTTTTCCATTGCTAACTTACCAGTGAATGAAAGAAAATCAAGTCCCTTTATGTAGAATATGCTCAAGCTGGCTTATGGCATCTGTTTTCACAGATAAGAGGTGGGAGGAAGCCAGATGGTGTTTGCCTTGTTGTTGGGTCCTGTGCTCGCGGATTTGAGGATAACTCTACAAGTGATGTCATATATAGTAGTTCATCAGTGAAGAAAGTTGGCAATGCAGAAGTACAATACTTTTGGGAGGTAAATTGGCTCTTTGTGGTATTATCTGCATTAAATGGAAATAGTATGCCTTTGATAATTGTATATTTTCCATATTGTTAGGCATTTCCGGCTGGGTCTGGTCCCTTAGATCGCACAACTTATATGTTCACTTATGTTAATCCTCAACCAGATTCCCCAAAACTGGAAGAATTATTGGAAAACTATTGGGATTTGATGCCTGAATATCAGGTTAGTTTTCTCATCTGCGGTCCAGTCTATTGGATTGTTAATTCATTTATTAAGGGCTGCATCTTGGTGGTGTTGGATCTTTTATTTAGTCTTGCTGTGATATGCTTTTCTCCTATCTAGCAACACCATAATTGTAGGCATGCTAAATTTGTGATGTTCACAATAACAGGTTCCTGTCGTCAAGCCAGTTAATTCATTATGGAATCTTTTTATTCTACATCTTCAAACTGCATAATTAAGCAGGTTGAAGGCAGTTTAGCTGGTGCCTCTATAACTCAGTAATTATATGCTCTTCTGGCCATATTAACAAATTATTTACCTTCACTCACCTGGCCAATTGATCCGCTGCCAAGTTGTCAGGCTCACAGTTCTTGTAATCAGCTTGCTGCATTTTCAAATATAACATAATATGCATTCTGGAATAATTATTCTTCGAAAAATGTTAATGAGTGCATATAGGGGCTATTAAAAGCAATGACTCCCCTTCAATTGAATGACAATGAAAAAATCTCTAAATGGCTCCCCTTATTAGCAAAATTTTTTGCAAATGCATGTGATGGTTCAGGCTACAACAACAATAAAAGAAAAAAGAGAAACAAGAGAGAAAGAAAAAGTAGATGCTCTATGCTGGTTGCCGTAAAAGGTGGTTCTTGATTGAATGAGTTTATCCTTCATTTATAACCAGTTCTCTAAAATTTCTGTTCACCTTCAAAATATGCTTTCTACTGTCTCTTGCACCAATCTATATTGCAATATGATGCTGTTAATAATCTTGCTTTCAATATACTAGTGTGTTTATATCTCCCCTTTCGGTTTCTGCAAAGGATGCATATGAATCACCAATCTGCGACTTATAATTTCTGTAGGGAGTTTCTATTGATAATCTGGAGATACTGAGAGTTATATATGGCATTTTCCCCACATATTGTGAAAGGTAATGATTCCATGAATTGATAAATCTACTTTAATGAGGTTAAAAATGTTTTGTGCTATTTATTCAAAGCAATATCATTCATACGTTCATGATGAGAATGAGAAACCACTCTTGAGAATTTTCAACTTAAGCTATAGGTGTTCTTGAAAGAAAATGATTGGCTGTGTTATGTTTGATCAAACTTGAAGATTGTTAAGAGTGTGACTTGATAATAGAATATTTCTCCTGTTGTGTTTTGAAATACTGTTATCAGGTATTCTTGGTGTGAGGCATTTATCTTATTCACTTTCCAGTTGAATAAATGTTCTCTTACTAAATTTTAACAGTTCTATTTTTACACATCAAGCTTGTCAGTTGTTCGGTACTTTTAATTTACTGTTCTCTTGGTTTTCACTTGAGTTGAATATGCTGAGTATTTATGTTCTTCCAATTCTTTATTGGGGAGGATCGACTTGACAGTCCATTGCCAGCAGCATTTAATCGTGTTTTACAGGTTATTTTTTCTGTTAACTTTGAAATCTTCCAATGGATTATTGGTTATCTGAAATAGAATGCACGTGTCATGAATTTATCTTTTGCAGGTTGGTGATGCTAGCGGCATACAGTCACCTGTCTCTTTTGGTGGTTTTGGGAGCTTGACTAGGCACCTTGGAAGATTATCAAATGGTACATTCTTGGTGTCATCCTTTTGCTAATTTGCACAGCCAATGATTTTTTGAGAGTTTCCACAGATAAACTAAACTGTTCCAGAAAGTGATATACTTTTAAGATGGGTGTAAACTATATCACATTGCATAAGCTTCTATTAACGGATATTAAACAGCATCTTATTGTTAACTCTTACCTATTAGTTTCTTTTTTTCTCACCTTTTTTTCCTTTGTCTTCCTGGGTGCACCCTGGTAGGGGTTGTTGGGGGGAGAACCAGAAACGTGTGTTCTTAATAATTTTAAAAAGGAAGGTGTACATGGTAACCAGGAACTTGGGGAAAGAAAAAGATGATTTATATTCTTCAACATGGTGAAACTTAAAAAATTTGTGCCTTCTTCAAGAGCAGGGATTTATGAAGCAATCAATGGAGATTTTCTTGACTCATACAGCTTGTCCCTGCTGAATCCTTACATGGTTAGTAACCTGTGTTCTGCTACTATAAGGTTAAGCCGCTAGCCCTTATGATTTTCTGAATCTAGTTCTGTTTGCTGCAGCCGAACTTGAGTGCTGCATGGCTATTTCAA